GACGCTCTGTATTCTTCGCCATAATTTCCATCTTCCCCAATAAATCTACCTGTATTGCGATCTGATCTCTCTGCTTCTTTATCCCCTCTAATTCTTTCGCCGCCTGGCTGGCGGCCTCCATCCTTCTTTTCCTTTCCTTGGCGAGGCGAAACTTCCACTCCATCCTTTTCTCATCCTCCAACACCTGCCGCTTGAGTGGGTCTTCTTCAGTCGCCCATTCTCTCAAGGCCGCCTCCTGCTCGTCCCTGGGCACATACATCAACGCCTCCTTGTCTTCTCCCAGGGTTAGTCGTGCAACCCATTCTGTAATCCTCTTCTCCAATTGATCCTCTTTACCCCCACTGGATTCTCATGTCCCGTGCCTTCGCCTTTCCAGTTGTTGTTGTTGTTGTTCTTCTTCCTCTTCCACCGCCTTCAACTTCTCTTGTTCTTCTTTCCTCAGCCTCTCCTTCTGTCTGGCCATCTCTTCCTCAATCTTTTTCATCTTGGCCGCCTGCTCTTCTAACAAGGCCTTCTTCTTGGCCTCCTTCCTTTCTCTTCTCTCCTTCAGGGTGGCGGCGGCCTTGGCTTCTTGCTCAGGCGTATAGGGGGTGGTACTCGTGCACTACATGTGTCAACCATGGTGAAAGATGCACAACCTAACGGCGGTTCCACTCCTCACCACTTAGACTCTCCCCCTAACTGACAAGACCTACTGACTCGATCTATGGACCACAGGATCCGTAGAGCACCCTGTCAACTATGGTCTCTAGCCTAGACCAATACTACAGCCGTCACTACAGGACTTGTTGCTGACCAGGAGGCATTTAGGGGATCCCCAGTAACTCCTCAAGAATTGTTTAACATCGCAGACAAGACGACGCGGTCAGCAGGTTCTCTCAATACTTAGACGGCCCGTTGTGCAGCCCACAGCTCGGATTTCGGGCCTACCATGCCACACTGAGCAGCCCACCGGTCAGTACCGGTCCTTGGGAGGGTTCGTGTCCTCCGGGACAGTCGAGTCGTCAGACACAGTCTTTAGCCCTACTCAGTCCGGCAGGGGTTTGGTTAACGAGGCCCTATCCTTCATACACGGAGTCCTATTAACTGGACAGAAGAGACTCAATGCAGAAAGAAGAGACAAACAGACTCAGACTCAGCAAGTACCATAGGGTGAGTGCACATCCATAGGGCGAAGGGATAGGCTAAGGGCTTGGCGAGATTATACCAACTCCAGCTTGGTCAAAGTTGCGGTCAGCAGCTCTGGTCAACGCCTTGGTCAACGCCCGGTCAACCCTCTGGTCAACCCTTTGGTCAACTCTCGGTCAACCCTCTGGTCAACGCTTGGTCAACCCTCTGTCGGCTATGGCTGTTGGCACCTTCTTCCTCGCCAACCTTCACTCTCTTTCCTCCTTCGCCTGTCTTCTTTCTCCTTTTCTCCTTTTTTTTTATTCTTTTTTTGTGTTCACCCTCGGCTATGTCTGTCTTCCACTTCGTGTCCCTCCTTCCTCCTTCCTCTCTACTCCACCTTCGTCTCTCCTCCGTGTCCCGAGCTCCGCGGCTATGGCCGCTACTTCGGCTTGGACCGCACAACCAATCTTGGATCACTCAACTCTCTCTCTCATCGGTGGTGTCTTCAACGCAGGTGCGTGGTAAACCAATCTTGTATCGCTCAGTTCTCTCTCTCTCTCTCTCTCTCTCTCTCTCTC